TTGCATCTAAAATTCTGCTTCATATGATACATTTGGCATGTTCGTTTTTTGCTTTAAGATAAACAAACAAACAAACAAACAAACAAAAACCCTTTACAAAGCACCCTCTAACCCAGAGTCTTGGCTGAATTAGCTGGATCCCAAAATCGGAACTGCGTTGACACTTCAAATGCTTCTGGCTTGAGTCAACATCTGCTCACATTTAGCTTTAAGGTCTGGCTGAGCAGCATCATACCAAAGCTGATCAGCAGAGGTGGGAGGCTTAGGTCTGAGTTTGACTATGCACAATGAGAAATGACACAACCCTGATGAGGCTGAATGGCCATGCCGGTCACATGACACAAGGACATTAAACAAGAATGCCATCTTAACATACGTTTTAATGCTGCACATTTAACATGTGAATCACCCTGAAGTGCAATGATTTCAGCCTTTGGTACTAAGATGCAGTTTTTTCATCTGGCATTTTCATAGCTAGCTATGACTCACTAGAATCACTGATCAGAAATGTGCACCTCCCATTAGTTAACTTCAGAGTTTTATTGTGGTAATGGATGTCACAAAATGAATACATTTCAGTGTTCAGCAGTAGCTCTGAGCTGCAAGTTCCTGGAACTGCTTCTGAACAGTGAAGGGCTATAACACCAGTGGTACAACTGTGGGGTACATCTTGTTGCGTTAGCTCTATCCCAGGGTAGCTCAGTAGTTCATGTCACAGGAAATACCATGACATCTGGTCATCTTCCTGCTGCTCAGCTTAACAAAGAATATTGCATGTTGGGACACACAGTCTTCACAGATCACATTCATATGAAATACGAAGATAGCTGCTGCTGACTTCACATCATCCTTAACAGACATGCTATGTTAAAGTAACTGTCAGAGTAGCTCCCAGCTGAGCAAAGTTTGTGCGTCCCTGATTCGAGGGTCATCATATATTCCCATGAGACCGTATGACTGGAAGTTGTCACACCACTCTGCTGTCATCGTCTCTGCCAAATGATGGCATCACTGTGAGCGCTGTGCAGAAGGCTGCATGCTGAATCTGAGCAAGTAGGCACACTACTGCTTCAGTAGCAAAACCTTCCGCTGAGAACACTCATGCAGTGCATAGGCCCAGCACAGCTTCCCTCGCCAAGCTCAGCCCTGGCCATTCCCACAGGGCCTGAGGAACAGGGAGGATGGAATAAATAGTCTCTCTATTGATTGCCTTAGCTCTGACCTTACGTTCTCATTCTCAATATTTCTTGACCTCTTTTTCAGTCACTCTTGTCAAACATCCTCCTGCAGAAGACTGTCTTGGAAGGAGATATAGTCAAGAGTTATTATGGAGAAAGTAGTTTCTGTCTTCTGTTCCTGGAGGTCCCCAGCCAGGAACCTTACAGACCTCTGGAAGAGAAATGCACCAGGGCCTCTGCTACAGACAACACTTACAAACAGAAGTTACCTGCTCTTAGATGTAAGTACTGTAAATTCAGAATTCAATATGCTTAGGAACAAATTTCAATAATGAAACCCGAAACTTTATACAAGCTATTCCACCTGTTCTCAGCAGCTCCTGTAGCTGTTGCAGCTCCTGTGAGTGACACTAATAGAGACAGCAGTGGCTACCTGTGGATGGTTTCTGTAAGCAGCACCTCATTGTCCCTAAAGTCCTGTGGAACTCCAGGAAATGTTCTGGCTTCAGCTAGGAGCTCCTGTTCTGGAGCAGTGTTAAACATAAGAATGGCAGGAAGAGCTGTAGTGCAAGTAAGGACATAGCCCTTTATTTCTCCAAATGCCTCAATGAGGGGCTGCAACACAGGCTCCAGCTGCAGCATCGCCTGGGCTTTCATGCTGCCCGGCCAGAGGAATGCACCATCCTGCAGCCCTCGAAGAGATGCTCAAGAGCCATCACTGCTGGCAGCGGCAGTCAGTCCGGCATGGTCCCACCTCACTCCTTCCTTAGTAGCGCTGCCGTATTTAGGGGTGTCTGTTGTAGGACCTTTTGGTAATACCACTACTCTTAGGACAGCCCCAGAATTGGAAAATGTGTCCTGAAATGGGTCATCTAAGCTTATCTAACTGCTCTTTACATTATTTTCTGAATTTACAGTAATTTCATAAAAGAGAGGAATTTTCAGAATGGAAGAGAGTGACTGACATCATTAAATATTCTATTTACAGCTAACTTCCTGGGAAATACTTCTAGTCTTTGACATCAACCAAGAGTATAAAAATTTCAGAGATGAAAGGCCATGACTTAAATAAAAAGAAATGAGAAACATTTAACTTTACAGGACTCAAAAATGCCAAATACTCAGGGGCAGGGGGAATAAAGGAGAGGAGGAGGAATTGCATTTCCCTGCAACAGTGCAAGGCAGCAGGGTGCTGGTAATGAGGACAGGGTCTGTACATAGAAGAGCGCAATGCAGTAATCGCATGTCACGAGGCAGGAGTTTAGGTAGAGGGTCTGCTGCCTCTGAGAAAGATGGGGACCAGGAAAACATACTGCTTACTGGGAACACGGGAATCAAAGCGAGGTGGTGGTAGTCCTTGAGGTGTGAAGGATAGGAAGGGTTAAAGAGAAAAAGAAGAGGGAGAACTGGTGTCCCCTGGAAGGAAACCGTGGGGCATATTTGCACATCTATGCTGGGAGGCTGCCTGGGGAACAGAGGATCAGCTGTGTACCTCACTGGATGGACATAGGAGGCTAGAGGTCTCTGGCAGGAAGGAGAGGGTGGTTCTCAGAAACAAAAGCTACATCAAGGGGTTACCGAGTTCTGACATCACGTGAGAGGCAGTGGGAGTCACAGATGCTTTTCACTGATATCTCTAGGAGACCAAACAGGGTTGAAGGCATATGATCCAGTAGCCCCTCTACCAACACCAGTTGAGGGAGGGCCAGCTGGGCCCCAAAAGAGGTCTCTGCAAAGGGCCAATGTCTTGTGCAGGTAAGCTGATTAAATTGCCATGCCTGGTTAAAAGCTGAGAACATTTGAGTTCAGTAGCTTCACAGAAGATATGTGCAGTCAGCACTTTTTAGAAATACGAGGCATGGCATGCCTGATTTCAGAAGGGTCCCAAAATGCAATTTAACTAATTGTACTCAGCACAGGACCCAATGGTTGCCAGCTGAGCAGTGCAGGGAGGAGGGACCATGTGTGAGACACTAGTCTCTAGTGGAAGGTCATAATGCGCATTTAGAGGCTGAATCCAGCAGAGAGATAAAACAGTGTAGTAGGGTGAGATCCAGAGACTTTACGCCACACAGCGGTAATAACCACAAGTTTGCTACCCACTGACAGGTGGCTCACCAGTCCAGCTAGGCTGGCACTACCAACACAGTAGGGGGAAAAGAGACAAGTTAAAGATGTAGCTACAGGAACCCCTCTAGGGTGTCAGTTTGAGACATTTGCTCCCCCATGTTACAGTTTGAAACACCATCAGCTGTGTTAGCACCACACGGAATTGTAACCCATTGTTGTGATCATCTGGTTAGAAAAACCTTCCCGAGAAGAAGGGAGCCTTTCAGTTCAGAGGACCCTGCTGAA